ACCAAGAACAGCCACCTCCTCTGCCGCCAGATCTCATCGACAGTGAAGAACACTATGAAGTCAAGAAAGTCCTTGACCATAGAGAGTGCAAAGTCAGGGGAAAAGCCAGGGAACCAACGCGATGGGTCACGGACTACTTCGTCAAATGGAAAGGCTATGGACCAGAATCAAACAGCTGGGTACGAGAAAACGACATGGATGCAGAAGAACTCGTAGACAATTACCTCACTGAGAAGGTGAACCGTATGGAAACACCAATTGAAGATTGGCAATCCTACATGGACCCATTCACCAGATGAAAAGTTTGGTACGACCAAGAACTAGACTGGGATCAGTTTGGCGGCCGCAACAGCCCTTCACAAGACACAAAATCGCCGTTCGAACCAACGGAGATACCGTGAAACTTAGGCGGTTATTCATGTCAATGCTTGTCTAGGAAAAGGGAGACCAAATCTACTAGCAGTTGGGACACCTGCCTTAAAGGGGGGGTAATGTTACGATTTATTCATTTTCCTTATCTAAGTGCCTCTTATCTTATCTTATCTTCAGATCCGTGACTCCACAGACGTCGTCATAAATCTTCACATCATCACATAGTCATACTCCACCGACGTGTGCTTTATCTTGCTCACCGTGTACTTTGCTTATTCACTTTCTAACACAGTGGACTTATTATTAGACCCTCATTCTAGTATATAAGTAGTCTACTCAAAGCTGTATATTCCTTAGCTTTGAGCTAACATTTAATCATACCGAAATACTCTCATTCTTGCTAAGCGCTAAAAGCCTTAGTCTTGACGTCTTTCCTTCATGGGACTTAGCGGTGACTGTACGAACTCGATACAGCCATCTATTTACCTTTGTTTAGACATCGGGTCTAACACCCTGATAGGAAATTCAATTCTAAATGATGGCCAGGGACACTAACACGATCATTCCGGCAAAAGTTCTGTATGGTCTGTCTATAAAGGGTCCAACTGGCTTTACTAGTCCACCAATATGCCCTTCTTTCCATAGGTGTTCTTGCTTCAGAACCGTGCTACGATGCTGGAACTGACCGTTGTTGAATTGCTACTCTATGGTGCTCTTCTCCTCATCTGGAATGGTGACAGTGCTTACTCGAACCATCTTAGCTATACACGCTGCTTTGGCAGTCAGTACATTCTGGAGAGTCGGTGCATCTTTCTTTCTGATGCCTCGGACTGTATACGATCTCAATGCCCGCCTCAGTTGGCCACGATAAAGGCAGGAGTCGATTCATTCAGTGCGGACTGGTCATCGTGATGTACCTCATCGCCACATCCCCTCTTGCCGTACGAACGATATTCGTCCAAGGGAGTGATGACGAAACACAGGAGACCCCATACATCTATTTGCCTGGGTGGATCCTTCTGAGCTCGGCATCCTTCATAGCAAATGTCCTCATCATGAATTCCATTGCAGTACGCAGTCATCATAAGACTTACCTGTTGGGATGAGTTGACACAGGCTTAGATGTGGTTGTGCTGACTCCTTTATGGTCACAGATGGATGTTCTCCATCATTCCAGGGCTATGCATCATCATCGGAACGAGTTCGTCCCATTCATTGTCGTCGTTAAACGGGTACTGACGTCCAGTCTAGTCTTCGCAGGTGTTGGCCTCTATAAGATGACGGTTACACCGGCCCCAGGGAACGCATGCGCAGCCCAGATTGATTGGATGCTTCCCTACTTCTCTATGTCGCTTGCCGTAGCACTTTTGTGCATGGCAGTCATCGTATATGGCATCATAATGGGTCCACGCATTGGGCAGAGAACCCGCCGGCTGTGCCAGTGGATCAAGGTCATCGTTGAATCGTTATTATTGTTAGCTGTAGCGCCGACTGTTTTTTTGGTTCTTTACATCACGAGTGAGACGCGTAGGGATTGTCCACTGCTTGTTCTGACGATGATTATGGTGAGATTCAGCGCAATGTGTTCTCCTCACGGGTGCTAATATGTCATCATCAGAGTCTGGCGCCTGTCCTGGCTGTCGCTCAAGTACCAAGCGGTACCGTGATGCCGATACTGTGGCCTAGGCATTTCGAACTCCATATGCTGGGTACCAACGGCAATGCCGGATCGACATCGGGTGAAAATCGAGAGGATTCCGCCGTTTGATTTCAGGAAGCTGTGACTTGAAAGAGGTCATGTTTCTTATGGATATTTAGATACCCTCACCGTCGTGTTTCTTTAACTTTCTAGTGCTTCTCCAACTTTCTACGTGTCATCACCTACCACTGGATAGTTACTACTCCCTCGCTTTTATTTCACTGCTTGTTGTCTAATTTACTGTATCTAGGGATGTCCACCGTACCCGTATACGGGTACGGCCGTAAAGTTGACGGGCACTTGACGGGTACGGGTGACCCGTACCCGTACCGTAATGGCCTATCCAAGAGTGCTCGACGGTACGGTACGGTGTACGGTACGGCCGTAATACGGACAGCTTCCAAAAGATTTCTGGTGAGGCAAGCGTACTAGCTAGCGAAGAATCGGTTTAAAAGCCTGTGAAGGGGGGCATTATGCACTAATCATCGTTCAAAGTGACGTTAATAGCCATCTGACCTCCGAAAAAGCTTACATCTTGAGATCTACAAGTAATATCTCACTGATCTAGTTAAATAAACAGGCGGAGGCTGAAGAACTAGACAATAGTAAAGGGTGTTTAACACCTACCAGATGAATACACGTGGTCGAGAGGTACAGCAGAACCTGATGTTATAGTTCTCGCAGATCATCGACAGGTATCTTACATCTGATTTCACTTACCAGAGATGCAAATGAGCACACTAGGCACATAGGAACATACAGAAAACATGGCAAGAAGCATGTCCGATGCATGGCCAGATATCTCAGTGTATAGCTGTCCCGAAAGAACTCGGAAAGGGGATAGGTAAAGTTCAAGGATCGAGGTGTTTATACCCAAAAGTAAGCTGAACTTCATTATCCTTGAGGAGCTGGGAACTTATGGAGTAAGGTCCAGACTTCATGATGAGGAAGGGCAAGCTCAGATGTATAGAATTCGCCTAGACGTTTGAGTGCGAGAGGAACACGATCAGGAAAGCAATGCAAATTAAGAAATGAAAGCCTCGGACGATTGAGCGGAGTCAGCGGACAGCACTAGGGATCTGGACGAAGCAGCAGTTGAATTTAATCATCGTATATGTTGAGAGCGAGGCTCCGAAGGAGTTATTTTGAAGGGAAGCACGTCTACGTGGCTGAATGTGGCAGTGGAAGGAAGCGGCACACAGCCACTTCTATAGCCCAAAAGAGATGCCGTATTTACGGCCGTAAAACCGTATTACGCTACGGGTTTTACGGGCCACATCCGTACCGTAACCCGTACCGTAAACCAGAAGTCTGAGGGCCTGACGGTACGGGTACGGTCCCGTATATACGGCACCCGTATTCACCGTATATACGGGGACGGTGGGCATCCCTAACTGTATCGCGAGACTCGAGTTTCTGATTCTATAGATAATATTTTGCTTCATGGAGCAAGTCAGACAATTATAAAGGCCAACAAGGTAGTCTAGGCCAAGTCTAGGCACAGTGCAGCGAAATTATCAAGCCCTAATTCATGGATGCGACTTGCCATCACGCGGCGCGATGATATCACATCAATATCAAATGTACAGTTGCGGGCAAACTACTAAGCGCTCAGGCTGAGAATAAATAGTCTGCCTTTCATGGAATACAAAAGCGACAGCAGTGTGATGGAAGTCTGAAACCGGGTCCCGGCGCAGTCGTGTTCAGGCAAATAGTTGTGTTCCCACGATCCCCGTCAACATGTTGCTTCCTGCGTTCACCATAGTATCCATGCACAATCCTTTCTCCATTATGTTACGCAAATCGTCCATATACTCGGGGCCGCGGGGCTCTTCGTGCTCGTCAACCCTCCAACGGTCGCTGCCAGATCGGCTGTGGCGAACACAGCATCCTGCCTTAACATCTTCCTCCTCGTATCTGGTATGTACCAATAGGCCGTCGACGATACCAACCACGGCAAGTTCCCTACTACAGGTGCCATGGCCACAGGATACCTGCGTCGAGAATCTCGCCACCGCAAGCTACCTCCAAGCCATCGGGTGCATTGGAGTGCAGCTGCCGCACAGACTAGAGGCAGGCACGTTGAACGAGGATAAAGTTCGAAGGTATCAAAGCGAGTCACAGAGAACGACGCTGGAGAAATACCGTACAAATGTTGGCTTAGCTTGCACCGGTACACATATCCCGCTGGTTATACAACCATTCACGACGGGCGGGAGTTGACCCTGTGGAAGGTATAGACTGCAGACACGAACCGGAGAACACGGAAGGGTTTTATTTGGTGTGCCACGTGGGAGAGGAAGTTCCGTGACAAAGTTTTGATCAGCTTCAAGGGGTTATTTCATTCATCTGGCTCCGCTTCCGTCATCGTTTCTCAGCATCTGTTCTCCCAATGTTGTCTCCCATCTAGCATGAGCACTACCCTCTTGTTCGTCGTACGCCGACCACTTCTCGGCGCGGATATCGAATTTCATAACACCACTTTACCTACGCCCATTTAAAGCGCGTCCGCCGCCCTTGCTGCGCACACTGCCCTTATGATCTATCCCGAGACCTGATACCACTGGAGAATTTGGCCAAGCAGCCAGGCGCCATCGACCCTGGCAAGCTCGTTCGATTCCAGCGACTGCTATTCAATTGCCATTGTTCATTTTTCTCGTATAATCCTCTTCTTTCACTGCAACGCCCTTTGATCCCAGGTGCACCAGCTCCTATTGCAGGGCCAATCTTAATATCTCTCCCTGCTGTCCGAACATGATGCTAATTTTTTCATAGCAATTGTCGACTCCTCCAAATCCCTCCGTACTTTCCCAACAGTATAGCGCATCGGGACCACGTACGGGTTGAGAAGAACTCGTTCGAGTGAAGGATATGTGATATTCTCTTCTCATCTCACGATAGTACATTTGACTGACAAATTAATTTATATTGACTCTTAGCTCAGTTGGTAGAACGCGTCACTAGTATTCGATCTGACCTTTTAATGACGAGGTCAGTCCTTCAAGTCGGCTAGAGGGAGCTTTCTCTTGCACACGCGCATTTTGATCTATCATCTAAGATCTTTCTAATTCCGTCACCCGACTTCTGAGTTGAAATCATCCTGGTCTAAGAATTTGTCATATTTCAGCCTCTTGCGGGAGGCTTCATTCAGTTCTAAGCTGCCTCTCCACTAACCGGGCCATCAGAACTATAGATAGATAGCACGCGAGCCGCGTTGACTGATCTTCCTACTCTTCATCGTTGATGGAAGTAAGCACGTCGTACGTGGAAGGTGCAAGCTTCTTTGCTTCCGCTTGACACTGTGGCCCAAATATTGGATGAGTGCCTCTCAAGTCCGTCTTGTCTTCCCACTCCTTGGAGACTAAACACTCTCTCAGGTTCACCGCCGTGTCCTCTCACTCGCGCCTCCTTTCGTGTTACTCCGGGGGCCTTTGGGATGCGCCCCTGAAATTTTTTCTTTACTGGACGGATCAACCGCTTCCTCCGTCATGGCGAGACCACGCAGAGAACCTTGCTTAGACTCGATCTAAAACCAATATACGGTGCTCGCAAAGAGGATTAGTCGAGAATACATATGATTCCGGTCCCCATTCAATATACAGAACCTGGAATTTAGACGGCTAGTAATCTCTGTATGAATTGGGAAGGAAGGAAGTTGTGGGTACTCGGATGTTGGATAACTACACTTCTGTCATGCGTGAACTTCTGCACGAAGGAAATGGGTAGCGGCACTAAAAGATATCCTTTGTACAGTTTTCTTCTAGCCATAAACGGATTTCTCCACACTAAGATCTGATTTTTCAACAGATGGAAACGCGTCTAAGGAAACATTTCTAGCTCCGCGAATTTCCCGGAGTCTCCGAGTCGGGGTCATAAGGCTGCGCACCTCTGTTACTCAGATTGCATAGCCTAGGATCTCAGCGGCATCGATTTACTCACGGCCACGGCCACTGCCCGTAGACGCAGAGCTATACGGACCTGGAGCGGCATTATTTTTTGGCTTTATAGACATCAATTCGAGTGCGTTGCTATACATGCAACGCCATCACACGAGGGGGCCTGGGTACCAGCCCTGCTACACAATGTAAGGTCCGAAGAAAGACATCCAATTTCCGAGGCTATCACGCTCCTATATAAGGCTGTATTCACTGTAGTCTACAGCAATCGTACAGCTTCCGTAGCTGCGATCACCCCTCTCACGCCACTGCAGATGCCTTCTGGTTAAACGAGACCAGATTAAGACTGATGAATACCGCAAATAAAGCCAGTTCAAAGTACATTCAAGTGATAAAAATTCGAAACTAGGAAGAAAAAAGAGACAACAAGATTCGATTTTGGTTTCCGTCACCTGCAAGACGTACTACTTGGTTGAATTCTACTAGTACTTGTATTAGTATGCGTAAGTCATCATAGAGAGGATTACGAATCCATGCTTCATAATCCCATTCAAACCGGGGAAGTTCTATAATAAGCTCCTAATAGTAAACGGCAAGTGCCACCATCATCATCGACAACTCATCGTATAACACGACATGGTCCGCCAAACTGATGGGCCGGATCTAAGTCGCCCAAAAATAATCCTTCCAGCACTCTGTAGAAAGTATTTTAGTGTACGGAATAATAGTCATCGTCGATAGCATATAATATAAACAGAATCGAACGATTTCACTGCTAGTCTACCAACACATCCCTCTTTTCAGCAGCATCCTCAAAGTATTTCTGCTCTAGAACCGTGGTACAATGCTGAAAGCGAGCATGGTTGAATTGATACTCTATGGTACCCATCTCACCTAGAACGGTGTCAGTGCTTACTCAAGTAATCTTAGCTATACACTCTGCTTTGGTGGTTGGTACATTCTGGAGAGTCGGTGCGTCTTTCTTCTTGATGCTTCGAGCTGTACATGATCTCAAGGCCCGCCTTAGTGAGCCGCGATGAAGGCAGGAGTCGTTTCATTCGGTGCGCACTGGTCATCATGATGTACCTCGTCGCAACGTCCCCCCTCTCCCTTCGATGGACATTCATCCAAGGCAACACCGACGACGAAACACAGGAAACCACATACATCTATTCTCGCGGATGGATCCTCTTGAGCTCGATGTCCTTCACGGTGGTTGTCTTGATCACGGAGTGCATTGTAGTGAGCAGATATCATTATACGTACATGTCGGAAGGACTTGACGCAGGCTCCCGTGTAGATCTGGTGGTGCTGGCTCTTCTCTGGTCGAAGATGGATGTTTGCTGTGATTCCAGGAATATGCGTCATTGTCGGAACCAGTTGAGCTCGTTGATCTTATATCATCAAAAAATCAGAACTGATGTCAACCGTAGTTTTTGTAGGTATTGGTCTCTATCAGTTGACCGTTACACCCCCCTCAGACAACCCATGTGCTGCCCAAATCGATTGGATGCTCCCATATTTCTCTATGATGCTTGCTGTAGCACTGTTATGCACGCTGGTTACCTTATACCACATGGTAATCAGTCCGCATATTGGGGGAAGAAGCCTCCAGCTCTGGGTCAAGGTCATCATCGAGTCCTTATTATTGTTCACCGCGGCACCGGTTGCTTACATCATGAGTGACATGCATACCACCTGTCCACTGCTTGGTGTGACCATGATTACTGTGAGCTGTAGCTCTATACATTTTCTTCCCAGGTACTCATATGTCATTGTCAGAGTTTGGCGCCTATTCTAGCCACCGCTCAGGTACCAAGTGATACCGTGACGCCAATGCTGTGGCCTAGGCATTTTGAACTCCGTAGGCTGGGTACAGAGAGCAATGCGGAATGGACATCTGGAGAAAATCAAGAGGATTCGGCCGTTTGATTTCAGGAAGCTGCGACTTAAAAGAGGTTATGTTTCTCATAGTCAATAGAGTTTTTGATACCCCCACCGTCGTGTTTCTCCACCTTTCTACTGTTCCCACCATCTGGACCTTGTGCAGGTATACACACTACACCATATCATACCACCTGAAACTAGATAGTCACTGCTCCCTTGCCTTTATTTTGCTGTTTGTAGTCGGATTTTCTGTATCGATAGTTTCAAATTCTATAGATGTGCAATAACGTTTTTCCTCTGGAAGGAGGACGGAAACTTTTGGAACACATCAATGTAATCGAAGCGCAGTCCAGCGAACTCGAAACAGGGCTTGCCAAATCCTCAGTAATGGACGCGACTTGGACAGTGACGCGACGCGATCATATCATGTCAATATCACATGTACAGTTTCCGGCCGGTGCCAAGCAATTTGAAATTAAATTCGACCTCACGCGATGATGACATGTGTGATTCAACAGCCTCGAATATTTACTGCAATGTCCTCTGTATCATTACGGACTTCAAAGGACTGGAAGACTTAACGCACTTAGCCCCAAGATACTGCTCTATTACGCTGTTGTCGTTGCTGGATCGTCCCCAGACTTTGCAAATGCATACGTCAAGTTTCTGGAATACATCCCGATTTCGTCTGCAAGCTTACCGCTCCTTGCGCCACGGATTGATGATGGTACGATGCATTGGGGTGATTCTATGATTCTAAGTCGTGAAGGATGTACTGTGATGTATGGAGGTGCGTAGACGTCTTTTCAATATTGATTTTTACTAACTTTAGCTTTGTAGTTCGACTCGGCCCTTCTCCCTGCCTTCATTTCCGAACACGCTCCATATTTGAAGATCCCTTCTAACGTGTCAGTGGGGGGAGCATTTATGTTCTTGTCAAGTGGGGAACATGCCAACTCATTCCCCACTATACATATCGTGTTTTCTATCCGGCGACTATACTTCTCTTCTTGTGCGTTAGTATTCTCTTTCGGATGTTATGAAAGAGCTGATTTGCCCAGTTGAGCCAGTCACCGACCACTTGGCCCCTTTGAAGACGACTGTTACCGTGGGAGACGCTGGTGCCTATACAGTCTTCACGACTGTTACCATATTCACCACTCCTCCGATGTTACCTTCTTTGCTCCAGATTGCAGGCCCGTCTAGACGGATTCGTTCCGCTCCAAGGCTCAGAGTGAGGCGAATACTGCTGGGCTTGTTCTTGCACCCACCCCTAATGCTTGATGAGCGGTTCCTCCGCCGCTCAACCATCATAGGAAACGGAGGACACGGATATCGAGGTACCGGTCTCCTTCTTTGTCAAATTTATAGCTAATACTCTGATTCGCGATGGATGTAGGACAAGTGTTCTTACTTGTTATTGATTCGCCGGTCCGTGATTTGTGCTAGGCTCGAGCACCCTATAGCATATGTGAACTCGAGATCCCCTCGGGTGATTGGTGTTTTTTCAAGTGCAGACACGATCATGTTTTGGTATGCCGGTGCAGCGGATTAATGTACACTGTTTTCATTGTTGGAGAATTGTGACTGACACCTCGATTCAGCGCCGAACCCTCCGCATAAATTTAGCAGTGTCTTCTTGGCGTCTTGTACGAGTGAGATTTCTCTGTCATATTCTGTGCGCGTCTCCGCATGCTGCGCTCATATGGCTGGATCGGAACCTTGTCCGAGTGGTCTCCTCGTTCGATCCCAAGGCCTTCTGCTATCTATCTTAACGAGGTCGTTATGAAACGTCTCCTCGTTCGATCTGAGGGTTTGCTCTATATGGAGAGTGTGTGCCGTAGTAATCTTTTTGGCCGAGGGAGTACTATGTTGGAGGTTTGCAATGACTGCGGACAAGAACACAGCCCTTGTTAGGTACAAGTCGTACAATTTCCCCCATTTTTGCCTTCGGAATTGCTATGTCCGAGTAGGGGAAGTGGGATATCTCGGAGTAGATGACACTGGTAACTTCAAAAACCGGGAGCACTTCTCGCTTTTCGGAGGCCCTAGGCCAGTTGCTTCGAGTGAGATAATCTAATGATTTGACTCACATTGCTATCCATTATCTACATGACCAAGGTTTTGGCCAGGGAGAGGAGCTGTAGGCCAACTGGAATTCCACCTACTTGTTCGGTCAACTCGTTCGAGTCGGGGTCCTCCACTGATAGTACATTGTCATCTTGGTTTTACTGCT